TAGGCTTTAGCAATACCATTTTTGTTCATAACTTATTTGGCACTGTATGGTATGCCTTTTATAAGCCCAGAAATACCAAAATAATAGGTCTACCTCTCTCACTGTGTTTCTCCATTAAATCTTGTAATGTAAAGGTACTGTCAATGCATGATCTGCCTGCCCTGAAACCATTGTGTTTCTCAGATTCTGTCAAATGGTTTATGATCTTCCGTTTTATAATCCACCTTATAGTCTTGCTACTGAGAACATTTCGCTTATAACCTGATAGTTCTTACATTCCTGTCTGCCTCAATTCTTGAAAACTGGAATAATATAGGCCTTTTTCCCTTCAGTAGGTACATTGATGTTACCTCGTCCAGGAGTTTTCCTGTTTCTGCCAAGAGAACATATTATAAATTCCAATTTATGAAATTGTATTAGCAGTGGTATAATATTTTAGAAGTGAATTAAAAATCACAATGAATTTTAGAGAAAAACTGTTACTGATGCTGTCAAGTATAATTAAATAAATTATAATTTACAAATCAGTAAAGAATAATAATAATTTATGATATGAGAGTGAAATATCCACAATGAGAGGTGCTTTTAGGACAGTTGCCACCTATACCCAACTAAAAATTTACTGCCTTTGAAAATATAATATACCCCCATTCCCTTTCTGTGTAAGTAGTTGAATCTTACTATTAGTACTCTACTGTGTTACTTTCATCATTTATGTATGAGGAAATAATTTCTTCAAAAATCCTAACATTGAGCATCTTCATTTAACTTAAGAAAAAAATTATGTTTTAACATGTATTGATATTGTATTATATTATATAAGTGTTGGTGATGTTGAACAGCTTTGTTGTATAACTTTAAAAGGTCATTTTAAGGTATCTTTTCATAAATTTATCATAAATTCATCTCTTTTATGTTACCTTTCCTCCACCTTTCTTAATTGAATAAGATATGATCATGATATTATCCTTCCATTTATTTAACAAGCACCAAAAGCAAAGATAGCATCTTATTGTGGTCAACATTTCCACATACCATGGCTGCACTAGCCCAATTGCAAGTGATGCACTGCATAATGGTGGCATTTGGGAAAAGGTTGCAAAAATTTAGGTATTTTTTTATAATCTCCATTAATTTTTTTATTTTAAATAAAAAAGTTTACTGTACTATTCACTTATATATAAAATTTCTCTTTCAGTGTTAAATTATGCACACACTAATTATGTATAAGTAATATAATTTTCAGAGATTTCATCAATTTCAGATAACATAAAATCAATTACTTTTATTATTGATGCATTAGCTGTGAAGTTGTCATTTAACTTCACAGCGAAGTCCATGTACAATAAAGAAAATCTATATAACAAAATTTAAAACATTAGAACAAAGGGGCAGCAAACAAACATTTGCCCAAAGGTGCAAATTACCTTGACACAGCTCTGCACAACATAGTGTTTACTAGCTCTACATCAAAATATTATTGAGTCACCATTTCAACCCCCTGGGTTCATAGAAATTTATTCCTTGAGAATTGTTAGGGAGACTTCTAGATCACTGCTGGCAAGAATTTAGGAAATTGGTACAATGGTAAACTTGTTTGAAATTTTGAAAATTTCCCAAAACCAGGCAAAATTTTAGAAAGAATATATCGGAAATTTAATTCTCATGTTTCTGAACAATATGAATCAAAGGACACAAAGAAACCATTATAAGTGCTCTTCTCTTTAGACTGTTTATTAAAATATTGGGGGGAAATATTACTATGTACTTGCTCAAGGAAATTCAGTTTGTTTAAGCTGTGAAAACACTTACCTGAAGCTGACAACTGGAGTTCTCTGAGGCTTTTAAATGTTTACTTTGTATTATGTCTACTCTGCACAAGAAATATAGAAATAATTTGCCTTTCGAAAGTGGTTCTCTTATGAATGTAAGTGGAGATTAAGATACTAATTTTTATATTGATTGAAATTAAACAATTGTGGACTATGACCCCTGTTCTTCCTCTTTTCTCATTGACCACAACACCAATCCACACACTGCCCTACTGGCACCTTCATCCTCAATATCAACTCTCATCCACATTCTCCTTACTTAATCTTTGGTACCAGACACTCAAATAAAAACAATAAGAATGTTTTTATGTATTAATGATTTAATGTTAATTCTACAACAGAACACATTCAGTTTTTTTATTTATTTTCAAATTATTGTAGCAATATTAAAAAGATAATTAAAAATTATTTTTTAAAAGTTTGTAGTTACTTATTCAGTGTGCAAAATATTTAAATTTGTTATTCTATGAGATTTGAAGAGTGGCATAATGAAATACTCTTCCCACTGACAAAAACTACAGTTAAAAGGTTTCAAGTATTTTGTATACATGTATTTCTATAGAATCTACTATTCTTCAATTGTTGGTTCATATTGTTTAAGGCAGAGTAGGCATTCTAAGTCTGAATCCTGCTATAAAAGCTGTTATTGTAGCTATAAAAAGAGAAATGAAGGGAGGTAGTCTCAGGAAAGGCATTTGATCTGGCATTTTTAGAAAAGAAATACTGTGTGTGTTTTGCAGTAAAGAAAATGAAACCTTAGGATGATTATAACTGTATCTCAAGGGTGGTTATATGTATAACCTAGGGGTTATAAACAGAATATTTTTCACTTTCACTTCTGCCACAGACATGTCATTTCCTCTTCAGACTGTTTCAGTACAGTGTGATTTGTTGTGACTCACCACTATGCTCAGGTGTTTTGCAGGTAGTTGTGTTACATTTAAACATTTTTGAATGAGGATACATATTTAGAATTATTTAACCAATTAATTTGGTTTGTGATCAGCATTTTATGTATGGGATAACTGTGGGTGGTAATCAAGAATTCAAAAAATTCCTGCCTTTGCAGTGCTGTCTTCCAGTGTGATTTTGTCATGCAATGGTTTTAAATACTTTCTCTGTAAAATGATAAAAAATTATTTAAATTTGTAGGAAAAATCAAAAAAGTTTCATCTTGGGTTAGTCATGGAAATTTGGGAGAGTCATGTAATGTTTTTAAAAGAACATCTGTCAGCCCATTTGCATGTTTTGATGTTAGTCCACATACAACTCTGTAACATAAACTCTACATATAATTTTTTCCAAAAAACTACAACTTGAAAAGTTTGAGGGCTTTTAACTACTAAGATCATTGAGTTCATGAGGGTCTAATGGGCAGTTGATAGCAATAATGATGATGCGATTGATGAGAAGTAGTGGAACAGTAGAGGTAGAGGGAAGGGAAATGGGAAAAAAACCCAAAAACCAGCTGAGAGCTTGTTTCACCACATATTCTTCATGGATTAGCCAGGAATCACACCCAAGTACCAGTGATGAATTCTTTCCAAATTTACTCAATCTTGTTTATTTTATTATGACTATATACTTATAGTCATAATAATTAGATAAATATCCCTTTTTCATTAACATTTTGTATTGATTTGTTATTTTCATTCAACTTCTTGCATATTTTTAAAACTATACAAATTAGCAGCACATTTTATGATTGAATGAATTATAAAAACATGCTATAAATAATAATTGTTTCCAAGCTTGATGGTGAGCTATCTAAATGTGAATTTTGAGGAGAGTCTACTCAGGTCTCACCAATTTTCAGGTTATATCTCCCTAACAAGTGCTCAATTTGGATTTAAGAAAAAACTAAACAAAAAACAACAAAATGTTTCTAAAATGAGGACAACAGTCTTCTCAGCACAAGAAGATAGTGTATCCAAGAGGACGCTTTCAGCTGCATCTCCCAAGGGTTTAGATTTGAGTATAACTAGCAACAACAAAAAAAATGCTCTTTAAAAAACAAATATTAATTGAGGTCCTTTTTGAAACACTGTTAGCAGTAAGTAAATACAATTTAAATTTTGAAGTTTCCCAAGAAAAAAGGGAGAATAAGTGTATTGAATTCAATTAAACAAACAAGTATCAAAAATCAAATTATATTGAGCAAGGTTTCAATGAATCAAATTATATTGAACCATGTCTAATTGAAATATTCTCTTAACATTATGTACGACAACATTTTCTTGGAGAAGATGAGAGGCCAAAATATGATTGTTGGGGTTAGACTTAAATTGAAATAGGCTTAAGGCATTGCTATCATCATATATACTTTCTGAAGTTATTCAGAACTTACTGATTCAGAACTGATGAGTATGAAGCATGGGTTGCAAATATTCCATTCAATTTCTTCAACAGAAGTTCAAAAAATGCTAAGAATTTGTTGTGACATCCTTTGATTAAAGTATTTTAAGTTCTTAACATTTACCTGTCAGAGTGTTAAAATATTTTTTGTACATTTTTCAATGTAATTCACTGTGATCGCTTCTTGCACAGTAACATCTGTTCTCTGTTGTAGAATTGATGCCACAATTAACATTCATATCATTTACATTTACACTGTTTTAGAAAATAATACTTTTTGAATTTCTGTTATAATTTGTAGCAATGTTTTTACATAATCATGTACTGGTGTTGAATGTTTGGAGTAATCCTCCTTTAATCTAGTCAGTCATTGCCTTTTATGTATTTGACGAGGGTTTTGGTGCTGTTAGATCCATGGATTCCCAGATCAGCCAACTCCACGAGGTCTTGAATTGCTTATCCTACGTGAATTTATCGCGTGTTGTTAGGTAATTCGGCTTCGGCTAGTGACACTTATGTAGGGATAACTGAAAAATGAAGTCCTCTGAATACTTAATTTCTCTGAACTTAGCCAATACTAAAAAGTAAAGATTGCATAGATTCAAAATTTCAATCAGAAAATTCTAGTTAGTGTTTGCAGAATTGGAGAAAAATAAGTCTATGTAACCTTTGTACATATATGTGTAGCTTGAATAAAGCAAAATTTGTTTCCAATTCATTTTGCTTTAACTGCAGCCTAATTTATTCTTTGGTGTGGATCTAAATATTTTTATCATCAAAAGGAAGAGATCAAAGGTCACAAATACAAAGGAACTGAATGAGAAAATATTTTCCTTTTTTTTATTTTTAATTAGATTTGGTACTGTTTATGGTACTGACAAACAACAGTAAAATAATATTAAAATTTTACATACACATACACATTATTAGTAACACACAGCACACATCAAAATATATCACACAATCTACTCAACATTGTTTGCTATGTACCTGGCGGTATGCCAAGAGGAACAAGGGAGTAACAGCCATGACTATAAGTATTAATTCCAAACAAACTAACAGCCCTTTAAATAAGAGCAAAAATTAGTATCCATCAAGACCAGAGGATTTATATTTCATTGTGACTGATGAATAGTAAATTAAATAAGCTGTGCTTTATTTACCAATTATAATTTTAAGCATCATGTATTATTATACACTGACATTTTTCTTGTAAAACAACTACTTAACTGCTGAATCTTTTGAAGCATTTTTTTTAGGCTTTCAAAATATGCAATAGTATAATTTGTTTGAAAAGCATAGTCATGACTTGCGATAAAACCTTTTTTACCAAGTTCATGCTTGTTCATTAAAAAAGTTCTTTGCAAAGAATTTCTCAATACAAACACTGGAGTCAAAAAATATGCATTTGTATATTGTCTTCATGGTTGTGAATGTACCAGAGGAAATTAATGTAGTTGCCTGATTTGCTCTAATATGACAAATGTATGCTCAACTGAAAGGATATTAACACACAGTAATACTGCCTATTACATATTTGTCTACATTACATATTATGTCTATGCCAATTGCATGGTAGGAGGCAACAGACTAATACACAATGTACAATTTTTTTTCTACATTTTGGAAAATATTTAGTAACACATTGCTACTTGTGATGGTGTGTTGCTACAACAGACAAGAAACGTCAAGTACATCTCTAGACGTTGAACAAACAATGTGTTAGATCACAATGTGGTCAGTGCATATACAAGGTTGTGTAATCTACAAAAGAAGTTATGACAGCTTATTGCACACATTTATTGATTTAGTTTTGACTCAAGTGTTGAATTGAATAAATTCTACACTGGTGGCTGATGTCTCCAAGGCATTAAAATAAATCTCTAGCAGGATAAGAAACATCAAATATATAATAAATTACTTTTTTTTTTTTTTTTGTACTGTAGTTATTTCTATTGACATCACACTTTCTTACAAAATGGTACAAAGGCAGATATTGAATTTATTCCTTTCAGCACATATGCACATGTATTTATACACAAATGTATATACACATAAGCAGATATGCAAATAAACAGAAATTATGAAAACACATATGTACAATATCATGCATATGTACATGCATGAATACAGTCCTGTACATGCACCTATATACACCAAATAAATACAAACATATTATTCCAAGAGTTAAATAAGTTGTACATATGACTGTACCATAAGAAATGGAAGGCATTAAAAAAAGTTATCAAATATAATATCTCCATTTGGTAGTGAAATTCTTATGCAAATTTATTTTATGTTTCAATGTTTTAGTTATTGCTGTTACTGTAGCTGATGCAGTTATTTCTAGTTGTAACTCATTGACTAAGTCACGCTTGTTTGAATGAACATTATGGAAATGTGAGAAGAAAAAAAACAACAACTAATTTACCCGACTTACAATTACGTCTCTATTGCAATTTATTATTGTGATTAAATCTTGATTTTGTTGTTATTAGTAAGATTCCTACCAAGAAAATTAAGCTTTAAGAGCCTTGAAAACACCAGTGTTTGTTTAATCACCTTTGGTTTGTTTTTTTCCAGAAACTATGAATAAAAAAAACTGATTTGCTTTCAAATAGAGCTTCTGTTAGAGTAGGCATAATTTTTGTATCTCTTTTAGCACATTTCATTTACAAGGTACTAAGCATTAAGCAACAGTCATAGTGATATGTCAGTAATCCATTTTGTTCATAAAACCATTCAGTTAAAAAAATTCAGAAAGAGACAAATTTGAAAGTATGCTCAAAGTCATGGTCTGGTGTTGTTCAAAGTCACCATGAATAGGAATAATAAACATACGTAAAAACATCAAGAGAATTCTATATCAGCATCATCATGAAAATAGATTGGACTTCCAGAAAACTATAATGTGTAGATTTTTAAATGACTCATGTAAACAATAGTGCATTACCAAATTATGTGCTAAAAAGTACAAATGCATCATGTTATGAACTGTAACAATTGCCGAAAGGGCTTTTTTCATAAACACAAAATATGTTTAAATATATAGGAAGGTAGTCTAAACATTGAAGAATGAAATGAAATAAAAAAAATATTTTTTTTTCTTTATTGAAACTGAAATAATATTTGTTACTCCTTTGTATAAACTGACAACAATTCTATGATTCTTGCTTCTTCATATCTAAATAAACATCCTGATATATCTAAATAAACAATTTTAGGAAACAGGAAGAACATGGAGGCTTTGGACAGCTCCAAGAGCAGTATCTACATCACACACACAGCTTACCAAGGACTAACATAATTATAAAAAACTGTAATAATAAAAACCGCCAGGGTCTAGTTGCTTTAAACTTTTAGCAACAATATCTACATTAGACAACTGGTTCTTCTCGTAGGTAAAAGTTAAGATAACTACTTTGATAAAGAGTGTCTTAAACCCTGCATGTCCCCTGTCATATTAAACCAGTAACGTCCAGCGTTCTGTCTCTGAATGCAGAGTTCACAATAGATTTGTTATAAGTATTCCCAGCCTTATTAAATTTATTTCATTTATTTTTATTTCAGTATTAACAAAACAATGAATCACTAGAACATTTAGTAAGGACAGGGTGGCATGTGATGTGATTTGGAAATGTGAGTCACTGCAGCAAACTTCGTAACACACTGGGGCTAGACTAAGTTAGTCATTATATGAAGAAACCATATTTCGGTGGCCAGCACCAAATAAAATCAATTGTTAAATTATATAAACAGTAATCCCATATTGGGAACTAATCTAAAATGGTCAACACAAAGTACAATGTTTAACAATGCCAAACACTTATTATTTTTGTTGTTATGCACTGCATTAAAAATGCAAAGTCATTCCTTGTGGTGGAATAAAATTAATTCATTCCTGAGCTAGAAACCTTGTTTTATGTAATGAAATTAAAAGTTGTAGCACAAGTACTCATCAAGCCAATCACTGAGATATGTCACCCCTATTGCTTTTATTTATTAGAGCTAAGAGACATAAATGAACCACAGTAATTATACTGCCAGGCAAACAGAAAAACTGTTTACTATTCCACAAAAATATTCCCAAGGAAGCAATAACAAGCTTTATCAATGAACCAAGGGCAATGGACAGTAAATGTCCAAAGCAGATTAAAATAATAAAAGTGATAATAACAACAGCAATAATAATAATGACAATGATAATAATAATAAAAGATGATAGTTCAGTATCTCCAGCATTATGTATCCTTCCTTCATGAGGATGCTTTCTGTCAGAGAGCAAATTCAAAGTTGCTATTTACAAAACAGTACATAATTACTGCTCAATTTCAAATGTTTTCATAAAAGTACCCTCAAAAATGAAGTTCAGATACATGCAGATGTATGAAAAGAATATCTGTATATTTCTCTTTCAATTATATATTAAAATAGATTAGGGATTATTGAAATATGGTTTTTATCTAGTTCTCTAGTGTTTGGTACCATGATGTGTTATATATCAGATAACACTTGAGATTTCTCTGTTCAGAGCTACCTCATATTTACCGCTTAGTGGATGATCTTGTGCTATTATTCACTTTGAGTGAAATAAGTCAGTAGTGTTGACATTTCATATTCATTGTATGATATTCAACACACTCTTTTTGAGCTGATACAGACTAGCCAATTCATAAACAAATCATTCCGTTGTCACATTTCTTATAGTACATTATGGTGTACAAGGTTCCTGTTTCAGTATAACAACTTACTACAAATTAGGTTTGCAGGTAACATAAAAGCTGGAATCTTTGTGTCTATGAGTACTTCATAAAATATATTTGAGGAACCTCTTACCATTACACTATTCTCTATTCCATTTTCCATCAAAAAATGTAGAACAGGGCAGGTAAGCTCTTTATTTCTTCTTGCTTTCTTTCCCTTGACTACCTCCTAATCACTGCTTTATCTTCCACCATTGCTGCACTTTTTCGTGCAATTTCCTGCAAAGTCCTAGGAACCTCCGTCACATCCCTGTGCTCGAAACTGTTTCCTCTACATCTTCCCCCTCTTCGCCTTCGCCTTCTTCCAACGTCACTTGGAACCTGATGCGCTCTTGTCCTGCTGCAGAAGACGCAGTTGTTTCTGTCACTTCTATCCCCCCAGAGTCCCCTCCATCTTCCTCTTCCTCCTCTTCATGGCCATGTTCTTGCAGTTCCTCAGTTGGAGGTGGACTTGGAGGAATCATACTTTGGTACCAGTCACGATTTTCCTCCAATGTGTCTAGAATATCCTGGGCATCTGGATGCACTAAATCTGCCCATGTTTCCCAAAGTGGATGTACAATATAGTCAATAAAGCCAACCTGTAATTTAAATGATCACAAAAAATTAGAATTTTGTAAAGAAAATCCTTTGTAATAGAAAAGATTAATAGTGATTTATTGTCATACTTACTTGGGATTTCTCTATTGTGGCACTATTACGATCACACATTGGACTAATTTCCAAATTTTGTTCTCGCTCTCTGTCTCCTTGTTGGAAGAATTCCTCCATGAGAAGATCAACCCATCGTCGATACAAATGTAAAGGCTTAGTAGGGTTACTTAGATCAGCACAATGAACAAGATTTTCCAGCACCTTAGGGAAAAAGGTTATAAATTTCAATGAAACATATCTTTGATGTCAACATTTTCAGAATGAGTATAATGCTGATTTGAAAGAATTGCAAGTTAAATCATTGTAAGATATTATTCATTCAGAGATCATTGTATCTTAAGGTATTGAATATTCAAAAATTCATAAATGATTATCAGGAGAAAAATGTGATTTGTTCGCATTTTTCTTAAGTTTTTAAACAGAAATATATTGAACACTAGTTTCAAGGTATTTGGTTAAAAGTAGAACTTTAATTACCACACATAGAATTAGGCAATATTTATTTGAATGATGAGGAAAATTCTGATTTATTATGAACAAATCCTGTTAATCATGAACTTTACTTACTAGTTAATAATTCAAAGGTATTTCACTCACCTGTATTCTATCAGTATAGTTGTCCAAGAGCAAAACTCCAGAACCCGCAACTTTCTTAGTTTCTACCATGGTTTTAAGATCTGCTAATAAACTCATATGTTTTGACATATCTGTTGACAAAACCATGTCAATAACCATTTTGCGAAGCGTTTGGCGTTGCTTCTTCCCCATATTGACAAAAATGTCACAGCCGTCATTTTGCAAAAGTTTGAAAGCCACAGCCAAATGGTGATTTTCCAATACAGATTCATCATTGTACATGAGAGCCAGTTCTGAACCTGTGTGACAAATAAATTAACTGCATTAGAATGAAAATGCAGGTTTCACTAAAGAACATGCTAAGTATATTATACAATTTCTACTATTATTTTATGTAAACTAATGTTGAAACTAAGAAGTTGGTGGAAAATGACAGAAACGAGGTCGAGTACACTAATTTTTAGCATCTTTTTTTACATACAGTTTTGAAAGCTTTTAGTCTGCTCTGACTGCTTTCTTTTATGAACTATTCAGATTCTTCTGTGTGCAAAAGACACTGAAGATGGAGATCACTAATAAAGGTTCAACATAAGAGTAATTATTGGAACTTACTTGCTGATTTTCATACATTCCTAGAATTTTAAATTTTTGGCAAAAGAAATTACACCATTTTCATCTGCTTTTTATACACATTTGCAACTCTTTGCAGTAAAACAGTAAAATCTTTCTTGGAGGTTTTTTTTTTCCTCACATGAAACTGATACGAAACTCCCATATAAAATTGTTAATATACTTAACAGACAGTTTTTTGACCAACTTCATTTGGATACAAATTCAATCTAAACTTTTATTGCAATGCTTTATTTCATTGTACGTTACAGAGGTGAGTAATTTTGGATGGTAAAAAAACCTTGTGTGCTCCTCATAATTTTAACAAATACACAATTCATTTTGGCCTCAGAAGCATAAACTTCAATAGTATATGTACTTATTTTGTACTTTTTCAATTTTGCTGCAACCTGGATATCACAGCAACCTTATTCTCCTTTCTAAGACTCTAATAGATGTTGTAGACTCGGAAGGTCATTAACCTTCAGCAATTCGGCCAGCATCGCTAGCCACATTGCTTAACTATGCTCCGACTTTAACTTGAGAAACCGTGGTTTCCAGCCTGGGTGACCTTATGGGAACCTCGGGATCTAACGGTGCCTAGTCCCTTGCTCAAGGGATAAAACAGACTGTCGATGACTGATTAGGTTAAAAGAGGATCACTCGACAGTTCCATTCGATGTCAGTAAAAAGTGGTGAACAGTGAGTGTGTTGTAATTATTATGAAGGCTGGTAGGCAGGTTAAGACTCTCACATCCTAAAATCAGGCACTATTACTGGGCAGGGCACTATACCAAACTTGTTATTTGCACTCCAATTCTGTCAATTCACAAATTTGCTTCATTTTCACATGAGAATTCAAAAACATAATATTATATGGAACTATTGTCAGTTTCTACTATAATTACTACCTCCAAGAGGTTATAGATGAAGAGAAAGCTTCAATAAACTGCCAACATGAAGCATTTCTCTGCAAAATTACATTAGAAATATTGTTCATCTAATTGAGGAGAAGGATATATTTTATCACTTGAAATGATTTATCCAGTATAATTTATAATGCATTGTATCTTGAACATGTTTTTTTCTTTGAGGCAAACATTTTCTTAGCATTTGTTGTACATTTTTGATGCATTGTTTTGTTCAGAGAAAATGCACTGCAAATGTTTAAAATTAAAGGTGTTTAATAAAAATTCTTAACATTTTTTTCCGAAATGAATTAATTAAAAAAATTTGAAAAGTAATAGTATGAAATTCTTTATTAGTAGATCCTACACTCAAATCTACAATTAAATTAGTACTAAGAAAAATGTGAATTTAAGTTTTCTATGGGTGCAAACACCTGAGAAACAATACCTCTTTTAATTAACCAGTATCATTGAAAGTAATTCAATTTATTTGAAACTTACTGGAATTGATGAGGAACTGATTGGTGAGGCCTGGGTGATCGACGTCATGAATTGTTGCTGCAAACAAAGCTGCCATGATTTCTAGTGGAGTAAATACTGATTCGAGAGCTGGTGAATTCAGAAGCACATTGGTGGACTGAGTTACATCAGCAGCATGCATGCTGTTGTGGAATGGGTTATCTTTCACATAATGATCCTCCAGAGTCATCATAAAAGTCACAAATGTCTTTGTTGGGATCATGAAAGTCTTCAATAAATCACGATTCTGGAAAAGAAAATGCATATGAGAATCAAACAATCATTCAGTAATACAAAATAATAAAATTTATTTAATACTACTATGTAAAATCAATTTGAATTTTCAAGATATTAAAATTAATCAGAAAATTGTAACACTTCAATAATTAACTACATTGTGCATGCGATAATGGTGTTATTGGAGGGTAAAAGAAGGGGCCTGGGGTATTTTTAATTTTTTTATTTCATTTTACTAAAATTATGTAATTAGTATCAATACAAGTGGTGAACAACAATGCACACTCACTTACATTATTTGTAACTCCTAATTTTCGAAAATTCCACGAGTACTATGAAAATGAGTCCTGATCCACTTTTAATCGTTCTTTGCTCTATCAGAAAAAATGTAATCCAAAAATATGGAGTCATATTTGAAAAAATGTCGAAAATGTTGTTAAGGTTTCTTTCCTCCGGCCCCAATATCAAACTGTCCTTTCTTTCAAATGCGCAGGACCTCGAGTCGGCCATTTCGAACGAAGAATATCAATTTTGGAGAATATCGTTTCAACGGTTTAGACGTTAAGAGTTGACAACACATTAACGGATGGACGGGCAAACGTTTTACAATAAATCAAATTTTCCGGTATTAAGGGCCCACGAGACGTGGATTCTGACTTCACGACGTGTGCTAGAAGTAATTTGCTATATTCAGGAACAAGTTTTTCAATATCAGGGCCCCAAAGAATTGACGCAAAATTGCCACTTTCCATTGTAGTACTACATTACTTTCTCTTCACTACTTAAGTTTGTAGTAGGCGGTAGTTAAATTGGATGGATATGAGTATATTGAAAAAAAAAAAAAACTCCTCCATTAAGGGCGCCACAATTATACGATTCAAGAGAAATGTGTAACTGATATTTGCAATAGAAGCAAGGGAGATCAATTTGCCAGCAGCAGTTTCGCGTCTAAATCTGTGATCACACCAAATTACAGTCATCCGTTTTTCAACTTCATGTTGAAATGTAAGAAACGAGCATACAAGAATGAACATTTACAAAGAACAAACTGTAAAGGAATGAAACCCGTAAAAACGTGTTTTTTTTCACCGTATACACAATATATTCCGGTGGCGCAGGATCTCTGACAATTACGAAGAAAAAGGAATTCAAGGTCGGGTGTTCGAGACTCGTGTGAGGCATGTGTGTTTTTACCCCGTGCTTGAGGAATGTTCACCACGTATCACACATTAACATACAAATCCATCATCATCATCATCATCATCATCATCATCCATCAATCAACCTCATGATCACCCTAGCATCTTGCATTGGAAAGCGAAGGCAAGCCACCTCAACGACTCCGTTGACTGCGCTCAGAAATGGGCATATGGCACTCTTGTCACCGCATCACGTAAGATGTAATGGTCAGAGTTGGAAATCTCCAAAAAAATACCTTCAGCTATTCCCCGCAAGACTTATTCTCGAAAAACAATTATTGCTTTAGAGCTAGTTCAATCTTGTCTTAAATATAGGTTGGAAAAAAGGACGAGGAAATGTAAGAAGGCGAAAATATAAAACAAAAATTTAAAAAAAAAAATCAAAACCATAATTAAAAATTCAAAAAGTTAAACAGCGACTAAGGAGCGAAGGTGGGAAGTGCTCTCACCTGGAAGCAGGTGTAGGCCACGCAGGTGAGCGGCCGGTTGCCGGAGAGCTCGCCGATGCGGAAGATGTCGATGCCCCAGCGGTCCACCTCGGCCAGGTTGCGGCCCAGCTCGTCCTCGAAGGCCGTCTCCACGCCGTGCTTGGGCAGCTTCTCGCCGGTGAAGCTGTTGGTGTGGCACAGCGGGCGCTTGACGCCGGAAATCTGCGACATGGTGCCCGGCCCGTGCGGCCGGCGCTCCTTCTTCTTGGCAGCGCGAGGTTCGGCATCTTCGACGCGCAGAGACGGCAGGTCCAATTCCTGCTGTTTGTCTGCGGAACGCAAGATTTTCTCACTACCAACGCACTCTTGTCCGAAATATGACGTTCCTTTCTACGTAGCATTTACAACGAAAATTAAGCTACTAGTTTGCCGAAGCTAATCATACGCAGGTGTGAAAGTTATTTCGTTCGAAAGTTATTGTAAATTTTATGTGAACAATTCTAATTTTTACTTTAGATTTACATTTTTTTGACTAAATAAATCAAAAACCGTAAAAACTGTATGTGAAGATTATCTGCGCACGTTTTTCTGAGTTCCAGAATATCTTCCTGTCATTTTAACTATAAATAGTTGAAAGATGAGTTAAGAATTAGAATTAGAATGAAAGGGCATTTTGTACGTTTTGAAATAATTGAAATACTATTATGTAAATCGAGATCAGGTTTAATAAAGAAAGGATTCCTAAAGTCGTTCCGTTTACCGAGCATGTAGAAGGTTACATACAAGGTCCACGGCTAGGTTTCCAACAAGAAAAGCAAACCTGAGATTTACTGTAAGACCACTGACGTGTGTACGTGGTTTTACAATACTCACGTGAGATAAAATTTCACTATTTATTATGAATTATGTTGAATTATGACTATATAACGAATTACAACAATATCGGGGATTTCTTTTGGAATAAATTCTGTCGGGTGTGTGTTCTGCTTTTAATCACAACTACGTCTTTGAAGTGTCATCAAAATCATGACGTGATTGCGAGAATATACATTAATGATCGCATAGAACTGAAGATTATAAACTATCGTTGTTTGATTACGTTTATGGAGAAATGAGCGAACATATCAAAATAATTATTTGGTTGAATTTTAGATTGATTTAATGCACCTGCATTGAGTTCATTGGAGCAGTTTATATTATTTTATTGGTATTTATGCAACAATTACAGCAATTATTCATTTGATCACAAAATAATTTCTAATGAATTAAGTTGATAACCACGCATTTGAAATTGAACTACCACTATTGAAAACACTTACCAAGAAATGTCGAGCAGATGTATTCCGAAATCTGGTTTCCAGATTTACTTGATTCCGAAAAGTGACTCAGTTCTTTGTTGAGCATCCGTTTGAACTGAAAACAAACACAAAAGAAAATTATAAGTATGCTTCTCTGACAGGATTGGGTGACACTTTTACTCGACACTGAGATTAAAAGAACGAGTAAGCAAAAATCAGCTGGTGTCAAATTCTTTCATTATTTTTAATCAAAGGTATTCTAAATATTTGTAAGGCGATTTCTATTACTTCAACACAATACTGTTTTGTAATCCTTGTGTATACGTACATGTTCTCAGAAGGAAAGGTGCTAAACCTTCTTGTCTAATCTTTCAGGGGGCTGGGAAGTAACGTATGTATTTTGTCTTTATTTGTTCTTATATAAATTAGACTATCACATAATGATAGATTTTCAGATATTTATATTACTGGAATAACCAGACAAAATAAGAGAAAATACGATAAAATATGATGGAATTAATACACTATCAAAGCCATTGTTCATCTCTAATACTGTTGTATTGTACTTTAAGCGTTATGAACAGTAATTTGCCTCTCAAGGAAGAAAAGTTTATACGGCGTACTCTATGAAATATAGAAAGAAGGCATTGCTTATACATTAAATGCGGTACAAAATGACTTTCATATTTTTTAAAAAAAAGCATAATGAAGGAACTGTGAAAAGTTTAAATAAATGGTCGTGAAAATATAATTAATCTATTAATTGATTAATTCTTGAAGATTACAATCTTAGCAAATTATTAGAAGTAATGATGTACTTCCTGTGACTTTGTCAAGGAAGTTACATTCAAAACAATTTACTAAGTCTACAACAAACAGGTAGGTAGCTTAGTTGAAAAATGTATAGATTTAACAAACTTCAAACGCTTCTCACTATAAACTGTTCTATAATATTTAAACGTGTTGCAGAGGTTTGTATATAGAATGTGATTTAAAAAAGCCTGTAAATTTAGTTGACAAGACTATGTTCTCCAGAAGGCTATCGTCTAGAAACAATTTACAGCACGAAATTGTTTCTGGGGATTCGGATTTCGTTGTAAATCCTGCGATCATTTTAATCATTCCGCCAAGGAGAGGGAAGCGGTCATTCCGCCTATGAGGTCTTCTGATCCCAATTTAAATAGGAGTAAATTACATACACTGCTTAGAGTTAGTGATTGTTACCCGCTAAAATATTAAAGTGGAGTCGAAAAGTAAGTAGGTATGGAAAACCAGAGAGATATGAATTTAGGTTCAATGAACCATCGGTCGTCAGGTGATCAAATCGTTAAAGATTGTGTTGTGAGAGAGTGAAGGAAGGTCTTGTTGATTATGTAGTCTGGATGGGTTTGCACAGTTCATTCGGATGAGTAACGTAATGCTTTCCATTGAACTAGAGAAGTGTGATTGATCAAACCCCGGTTTAAGACGATGCTACATCCACTGGGTGGAATGCACGACCTGTCGCACGAAACCAGAGGTCCGCCAGAAGGGGG